AGTTGTAGCATGTTAAGAATCAAAAAGATAGCATGCCACGAAGCTGTGCAGAAGAATGATAGAAAGAATGAAGCATGTGCTAGTTCTACAGCAGTACTTTTTAATCCATGAAAGGCTTCATGGTTTCAATTCCAAGGAGGTCCAGTGGTTAGAGATTGTGGGAGTGGCAATCCAATAATATCTGGGGTCTCTCTGGTTGAGAATCACTGTTCTAGAGAAGACTATTTCTAGAGTGACATTTACCAGTTTGATGCCCTTAGGCATTTTTCTCTACAATTCCTGTCATTCTCAGCAATTATGGAGGTGCATCCAGTGCTTTTGCATGAAGCAGTGGCAATTTCCCCCAATCATTTGCAAAGGGCCAGTACTACATTTGTGCCCAACTGTTTCTTTCCTGGAAACTGTGTGTGAATCAGCAGTGGATGGTTCACAGACTGGTACGACCACAGACTAGCACCTAGCATAGCATTAGCTTTTGCTCTGATATGGTGTGCTTGTAATAGCACTGCTATGTATTTCTTCTCTCCACTAGTTGCTCTGTATGCAATGTAATAGAACTATTATTATTTCTCGTCTCCAGGTTTGTTTAACACACACACACACACACACATGCACATACATATATTGCTAAGAGGCAGTTGAAGCAGAACCACATCTTAAAACTAATGTTTATAGATAGGAATGCTCTTCTAGCCTTACCCTATGGCTGATCAGTCAAATGTCATTGTTTTGCATGAAAAACCTTGATTCATGAAGCTTGGCAAGTAGGTTGAGCAGACTTCCCTCAAACTTTTTGCTGTGTCAATATGTTTTGAGATTATGAGAAATAAAGTACTTTGTTGTCATATGTAGCAAAGATGTAGCAAAGATACTGACGGTAGCAAGGAGAGAATTTGTTTTTTATTAATGTCAAATACATGACTGTTAAGTGCCGATTTAGATAGGTTTAAAAATGACTAGCGACTATTTTCATCATGTGTGTGCAAGTCACCTGTTGACTTGTGCCAGCTTCTTGTATTTAATAGGATATATTAAGATAAGAAATAATCAGAAATCAGAAACACACCTAGCTCCAACAGACAAGAGTTATTTGCCCCACCCTGGTTATTCCACAGATATATAAACCCACTTTCCTAGTTCCAATAGACCTCACTACCTCTGAGGATGCTTGCCATAGATGCAGGTGAAACATCAGGAAAAAATGCCTCTAGAACATGGCCACATAGCCCGAAAAAACCTACAACAACCCTCTGAAATAGAGCCTACACAGCACCTGGTATTTCTTGGAGATCTCCCATCCAAGTGCTAACCAGGGCTGACCATGTTCAACTTCCAAAAACAGACACGATCTGGTGCCTTTCTAAAGCTCCAGGTTTTTTTTTCCTTTGGTGTGCTTGCTGTATCTCTGCAATTGGTCTTGATTATAGAACTGCCTGTCCTACAAATGTCATCAGAGAATCCTTTATCTTTCCTCAGAATTGATGTTATAGACATCAGCTGTACACAAGCTGTCATTCAGCCAACATTATTAGAGGCTGGATTGGTTTGTGGCACTTTGTATGCTTGCATTCTTTGTCAAAATGTTAGGAAGATGTCCTTTGTACATAGGGAGGAACAAAGGAAGGCTTTGTTAGTGGCACTGACATGGCACTATGTTTGGGATGTTGGCATCTTAAAATTTAACGTTTTGTTTATGAGAGATCATATTTTATTCCTCCTTCCAATGTTTCCATATGACAAATTCCAGAAGTCATATTAGAAAACATTTGATCATATTCAGAAATCTGAATATGTCTTGTGTGTACATTGATGCATTGTTCCATGTGCATACTATGAGAGAAATAGATTATTGGGAGTTTCCATAACTTCTCTTGAAGCTCTGGTCTGATTACTTTGCTCTCTAGTCCTACAAAAGGGGAGAATTGAGGATGAAAGACCATGGAGATTAAAAACAGTGGTCAATGCCTTATTCTGCTTTTTGGTACCTAGATTAATTTGTAGAAATTTTTACTCAATAAGATGAAGGATTTTAAAAATACCAGCATACCATAATTAATAGTAATGAATGTAAATGGGTTCCCTAACCTCTAAAACAGTGTTTTAAGACAAAATCAATTCTTCTGTGAGAAACAATGAGATCACAGCATTCTAAAAATGGTGCTGTATGCTCCCATTGGGAATAGTTTTGGGACATTGCACATACCAACGGTCACCAAATACAACTTCTCATTTTTGCAGCAAACAACCAGCTGTCTGACTATTAGTAATGTAATGTGAAGGAATTATCTTTCTATAAATAGTTCCACCTGCTAAAACTACAAAACTCCTGAATAAATTTTTGCCCATCTTGTTGAAAGGTGTTCCCTTGTAAATAGCTGTTTTCACTTGTCAGAACAGCAGTGGAACAATTCGATTTTTATGTGAATTTTGATTTTTTTTTTTATGGCTAAAGGGCAAGTAATGGAAAATAATAAAACTTACGAAGTGCCTAATTTTTTAGATTTTAGTAAGGTAATAATTAATTTGTTTCTTTATATATATATTTTCAGCAGTATCACTGTTTTCACAATAAATCACCAATAAGATTTCAAACTCAAAACTTGCCCCTACTCTCCCAGATATAGTTGAAGTATTTACCACTTGCCTTAGTGTATCAAAATAGTACTCCTTTGGTGGCCTAATCACATAAAACTCTGGGAAGTCTGTTTCAAGGTGTGAAAGTAATACGTGAAAGCCTTCAGAAAAAATGAGACTATATATAATGCTGGCCATATAAAAATGAAGACACATGGATACCAAAGCAATGTTGCATCTCAACAGAAGCATTCCAAAACAAGGAGGCATGCCTGGAAGGGTGCCAAAGATTAATTTGACAAAAACACACCCACCCAGAACATTATAGTTTAATTGATTTTACTCATTTCAGCCTTCTGGAACAGAACTATAGGGAAAAATACTCATAGGATATGGTAGAATTCTGTTTTAGAGCAATAATAATAATAATAACAACAACAACTATTATTTTGTTTTTCACCTACCTCTCATGGCTCAAGATAGGTTACAACATTGCTAAAACACATAATCATTTAAAAACATTCCATAAAATATCCATAAAATGCATATTTAAATATACAAAACCAAAGTTGAGTAGAAGTTTAAAATTCATGATTAAAACTGTCTGAGTTGACAAAATTATGAGGTACAAGATACCGGCAAATAATCTGTTACTTGTATTGATGAAATTGATTGTACTAGTATGCCATGACAACAGATAAGGAAAAACCATACATCATTAGAGGACACGCATACACACATGCATGCATACTTGCTTGTATGTGTTGGCAAGAGATGTTGTCTTGTCAATTGTAGTGGATGATAACTCTCGATGGATATGGTGTAAATCCGCTAGTACAGTATTGATTAGGAACAAGTAAGATCTGACATATTTGGAGTGACGCTTGGTGCTACTTTTATTTTGCAGCTATCATCCTGTCTCTGTCTTGAGGCTACCTGCATTTAGAAAATGCTTGGATCTGAGTTGTTTAGTGGTTGGGAGGAGGACACAATCTTTTAAATAGGATAGATAGACAGACAGACACGCATTCACATACAATGGAACCACATGTTTTGCACATGGAAGATCCTAGGACCAATCCCCAGCATCTTGGAGTGGGAGGAAAAATTAATCCTGTTTGAAACTTTTGAGAAGCATTACTAGATAGGTATGAATATTTGACTAAATGGACTAGTGATATGGTAGAGCATAATGCAACCTCCTGTGTTTTTGTTTAGGACTCTCCCACCTTGTAACAGAATATAGTGACCAACCTAAAGTGCTCTGTAAAGATTTCTAAGAGAAAATGGTGCAACATGGATATGGGGCTGGTCTTACTGTTGGGGATTATCAGACTGCATTAGAATTTAAAGACATAGCCTGGATCAGTATGCCAAGGGATATTGTAGCACCTTTGAGATTTGCTGAAATAAATAAGTTTGTAGCATTAGCATTTGTAGATGCATCTGATGAAGCAGACTTAATCTATGAAAGCTAATGTAATACATGTCTTTTTCTTAGGTAATCTCAACATGGTTAATCTCAAATATGGTGAATCACCTGTGCATTAAATTATTTTCCTATTCCAAGTTTGCAAATTGCTGTCCAGTAACAGTTAGACCCAGGCTCTTTTTGAAAGCATACAGAAAAGGAGATATCACCATTTCTTTAGGCTATTGGTTCTATTGCTGAACTGCTCTTACTGGCAAGAAGTACCTTCTAATGTTCAAATGAAGTGTTATCTCCTTTAACTTTAAACCATTAGACCTGACCTACCTTCTGGGGCAACAGAGAACAGGCTCTGAAGACAGTGCTTGAGGTATTTGAAGGGCGCAATCATGTCACCCCACTGTCTTCTCTTCACCAAGCAGATCAAGCATTGTTCTCATCACAAAATTATTTTTGACTAATGAGTCTTACTTCTGCAGTAGATGGTGCACAGAATGCAGTTTCATAAAGGATACTGGACTAGTTCAGGTGCAGAAGGTAGAAAACAATAGTATTCATTCTCATTTTAATGAAGATTTGGTGTAGGAACATCTGTTTTGTTGTGTTGTCGAAGGCTTTCATGGCCGGAATCACTGGGTTGTTGTAGATTTTTGGGCTGTATGGCCATGTTCTAGAAGTATTCCCTCCTTAACATTTCGCCTGCATCTATGACAGGCATTCTCAGAGGTTGTGAGGTCTCTTTGATTGGGAGCTTTGATCTTTGATATTTGAAAAGTTCCATTGGAATATGGAGTGAGGAGTTTGAAGCCTTCCAGATGTTTTGTCTGAAAGCTATCAGCACTAGGTAGCATGATCAGGAATGATGGGGCTCATTGTTCTACAATATCTGGGGAGCACTGTATTCCCATCCCTGAACATAAGCTTGCCATAGGTAAAACCTTTAGTGATGATTGGAGAAATTGCACTAATCTTGTGTCTGGATATTTTCTTTCCATAGGTAAAGTATGTATGCAGAACTCCACCGCAAAAAAATTAAGAAAAGTGAACATTTTTTGGCAAGTACATCAAAAGGAGGTTCAGCAAGAAGTAATATTCAGCCCACCTTGAAAAACTTTATTCATAAGTGCCAAGCAAGCCTCAAAAGCGACTAGCTGGGAACCTATACATAGATAAAAGAGTGCATTCTTCTGCTTTTTCAGTGATTAAATGTAAAGACTCAAATACGACATCAGCAGTACAGCCACAGCCCTTGGTGCTTTTCACATATTTGTGCTACGGTTTCACAACTGACATGTTACATAGCTTGTTTAGAAGCTCCTGTAATTATATATAGAGTAAAACCTAGTACCACTGTGTAACTGTTTTCCTATAATAGAATTAAATGTTAAGACATTTGCCAAAATGAGTGCAGAAGGATACCAATACCGGGCTTTATATGATTACAAAAAAGAACGAGAAGAGGACATTGACTTGCGCTTGGGAGATATTTTAACTGTGAATAAAGGTACCTTAGTTGCCCTTGGATTCAGTGATGGGGAAGAAGCAAAACCCGAAGAAATTGGTTGGTTGAATGGTTATAACGAAACTACAGGAGAAAGGGGGGACTTCCCAGGAACTTACGTAGAATATATTGGAAGAAAAAAAATCTCACCTCCAACTCCAAAGCCTCGTCCTGTCCGACCCCTTCCTGTGGCACCAAGTCCTGCAAGAGTAGGAGCAGACAGTGATCAATCAGGTTAGTAAAGTCTTGTCATGATGGTTGTGGTTCAATATCAAATATCAGAAACATTCAATTTGTGAATCATTCATTGAAGCCTCATACTGCATGTGGGCGGTCACAAAATTAGTTCAAACGTGATTTTACTTTTTTTTTTTCTTTCTGGATCATATTTATTTTGAAAAACTGCATTTTCCTTTTGGGATTGGAGTTGAGGTCATATTATCCATATCCTTCTTGTGAAGGTTTACTGTAAAACAACCAGAAATCTAGTATAATTCATTTTGAACTCAGTTATCATATTGCATACTGTGAAACACTAGTGTTCTTCGGTGAAGATATTGGTAATGCAACACAATGGAAGAGTGATGTTGTGCACACTTTCACATCATCTGGGTTTACTGATCTGGCTCATATTCAGAACCCAAGAAAATACAGGGTCTTTGCCATGGAAGCATACAAGTATATAGATGTTTCTCTTAACGTAGAAAGTTTTGAAAACCATTGGCCTGATGTAGTAGATTCCACCTTTTGGTTCAAATGTTTGATCCAAGTGTTTTGGACTTCCATTCCCAGAACCAAACCCAGCATAGACAGTAGGTGTATTCTGGAAATTCCAAAATATCCTGAAAACCACTGCTTCAAATGGGTGTTCTCTGGATTGAGGAACATCCCTGAGGCATTGAGTGCTAATCCTTGGCAAGTTTCCAAGAGAGAAAAATAATTGTATACTATGGAAGCAGATATAGTGCCAGTTTTTCACATATTGGGGAAATAAAAATGTCAGTCCTCCACATCAGATTGTATTATAAACACTATTTATTGTTGAGTGCCATCAAGTTATTTCTGACCATATCTCAAGTTTTCTTGGCAAAATTTCTCCAGAGGGATTTTTCCATTGCCCAAGGTCACCTAGTAGGTTTTCCCATGGATGAGCAGAGATTTGAACCCTGGTCTGCTACTGTCCTAGACTACACAGTTGTACAAGGTGTTACTACAAGGCTATGTATGGCTAAAGCTTAATTAAAAAAAACCCTAAACTTGGAAGAGAATACAAAATATGATCAATAAATGTGATAGTGTTAAAAAAGGTAATAATATAATGATTTATTTATTTATTTATTTGCTTCATTTTTATACCGCATTTTTCAGCCCTTGACAGGCGACTCAATGCGGTTTACAGTGCAATTAAAACACAACAATACAACAACAGGATCGACGACGTCGATCCACAACAATTAACAATCAGACAGGACAAATCAACAAACAACATATATAACGCCTCAGTTGAAATCAGATCCGTTCTCATAGTCGTTGTGCCGTTCCTATGTTCCATTTACCGTCTTCCTTAATTAGTTGCATTGCTTAGCCAAACGCTTGTTCGTAAAGCCAGGTCTTGACCATTCTCCGAAACGTCAGCAACGAAGGTGCCTGTCTGATGTCTGCCGGCAAGGCATTCCATAGCCGAGGGGCCACCACTGAGAAGGCCCTGTCTCTCGTCCCCGCCAAGCACGCCTGTGACGCAGGCGGGATCGAGAGCAGGGCCTCCCCAGACGATCTTAATGTCCTAGTCGGTTCATAGGTGGAGATGCGTTCGGAGAGATAAGCGGGGCCAGAACCGTTTAGGGCTTTATAGGCTAAAGCCAGCACCTTGAATTGTGCCCGATGACAACTGTTGTTACTTTCCAGTGTTGTCTTACACATTACACTTGCAAGTTACTATTCTTCTATTACAGCATTCCAGATAGATATTTAGGGAATGTCTTTAGATCTTGTGTCATGGGGAAAATATCTTGTGCTTATATGCCACCACTAGTGGCTAAGGTAAAGGTTTCCCCTGACATTAAGTCTAGTCGTGTCTGATTCTGGGGGTTGGTGTTCATCTCCATTTCTAAGCCAAAGAGCTGGCGTTGTCCTTTGGTCATATGGCCAACATTACTGCACAGAGTGCCATTACCTTCCCGCAGAAGCTGTACATATTGATTTACTCACATTTGCATGTTTTTGAACTGCTAGGTTGTCAGATGCTGGACCTAACAGCGGGAGCTCACCACACTCCCCGGATTTGAACCACCAAACTTTCGATTAGCAAGTTCAGCAGCTTAGCGGTTAAACCCACTGTGCCACCAAGGGGCCCAACTAGTGACTACTGGCTATTTTATTACAAATCAAAAATAATAGAATAAATAAATAAGAGGAGATTCCATCTGAACATTAGGAAGAACTTCCTGACTGTGAGAGCCGTTCAGCAGTGGAACTCTCTGCCCCGGAGTGTGGTGGAGGCTCCTTCTTTGGAAGCTTTTAAGCAGAGGCTGGATGGCCATTTGTCAGGGGTGATTTGAATGCAATATTCCTGCTTCTTGGCAGGGGGTTGGACTGGATGGCCCATGAGGTCTCTTCCAACTCTTTGATTCTATGATTCTATAAATACATTTTGTGCCCCTACAGATCAATGTACTTTTTAAAAAACAACCTGAGTATATATGGAGAGCTTGGGGAAGCACATTATCTTGCTTTACTGTGTGGAGTCAAATAGAAAATGAAAGTTTGCTGGTACAACTTACCAATCAAGCCTTTATTGTGGTTATTACTGATATATTTACTATTTTCTGCACACTCTTAGACATGAGTGCTCCTATAAACAAAACAAACTCTGCTAGTGTTTTAAACTGACACAGCACATATTTTGAATGCAATCTGAAACTATTAAATATATGCTCCACTTTAAATCACAGAAACTCTAGGTAATTGTGAAAAATAAAATCTAATGATTTCATGAGAGGTAGCCATGTTTGTTTGTGGCAATGCCCACTACTAAAATCGCATAACTTTATGACTCTTGTAAATCCTTAAAAGACTACTAAATTGGTATATTTGCATTGCTTTGTGAATGGTCACACTTAACAGTTACATATCCTTTAGACTTTATCATAATAAACTCAATCTGTACTACTTTTATTTCAGTCTGTTCTGATGTTCACCATCTTTATACCACACTTGTCTACAGAACGAAACGATGCCTGCATAGACTATAATTCAGGAGATAACTTTATGCTTCTAAGTATAATTTTGACAGTAGAAGCTAATATAATGTCAGCTTAGTGGTGATTATTTTACTTCAATTTGTTTCTGTTATGGACACATCTTTTAAAAAATCACATGATACAGGCATATCTGCGGTTCTTTCAGACACCAGCATAATTTCTTACAGCAGTGCTGATACTAACAGTGGAAGTAACAACATTATTTTATCAGCTCATGTGATGTCTCTTGTTGCATTTTATTAGAGCCATGAAGAATGTAGACAACAGGAAGTGGCAGCCCCAATGCTCTGGTAACATATTAGTCATGTCTAAATCTCTCTAAATAGGATACCCGCAAACTATATTTTAATGGTGAAATTTGGGGCTTTCTCTGTTGTTTGAGATCTTTGTCTTGTGTGCTGACAGCACTATTAACAAAAAAAACTCTGTATGGATGCAATCTGCTCATATGGTTGAGAGAAATCACTTCCCATCGTTGAGAAAATTTACAATTCTGTTTCATGAAATAGCCACACATTATATTTTTTAGCTTCTCTTCTACCTTTACTTTATAAATTTAATAGGGTTGTTTTGTCAATTTTCCTCATTTGCATTAGATAAAAATTGACAAGTCTTTGCAGAATATGTATTCTGCCTTATTCTGTTGGTTGAAGGTTTGGATAGAGTGGAAAGTGCAGTTGGGAAGCAGTCTTCACAATTTTTAACATAATCCCTAGTAATCTGAAAGGCAACAGTATTTGTACAAATAATATCAAGAGCTGTTATTGATAGCTAAGCACAGAAAAATCACAGTTTAGTTGTATGAAATAGCAACGTATTCTACATATTTTTAGATTTTCATTTAATTATAGAGTTTACAGACAGCTGGGAATTGTTTGCTGGTCTGATTTTCCTCTTCCAAAGAACATGTGTTGTTCTACTACTGGAGAGAGCTTTTTAAAAAACAAAAGCCAATATGTCAGTTTGAAGAATTCTACAGTTGTTTTCTGGTGCCAGAAAGAAAAGGGTTTTCAAATGGTGCTCCCTAGAGAGAGAACCCAAGTCATAACCCCAGAAAGGTTTAAAAAACAACAAACTTCCCTCCCTACCTTGATTTGAGGGAAAATATATCCTACAAAATCACCAAATAGATTCACAAATTACATATTTGTTCACTTCCTGGAATAAATTACAACTAACCCTATGTCAAATGATTTCAGAGCAGTGTGAAATAATATCAGTTTACCAAAATAATAATAGAAAGAACATATTAAAAACTGACAAATTAAATATGTCAGAACAGTTTGAAACAATGTAATAGCAGAAAACATGTGCAGATTTCAAGAAACCCAGTTAATCATCATCATCATCAACAACAACAACAACAACTTTATATTCTACCACCATCTGGTACGAAGTATTCGGCAGCTTACAAGGCACTCCGGGATGCACATATAACCGGTAAAAATTGTACAGAAGTATAAAACAAGTCACATAAAGTGATAACAACAACCCCCGTCAACACATGTAGAATAAAATCAAAATAATACAATTTTAAAACAACAGTAGATAAAACTAACTACCGTCAATTCACAAGGTGCCAAGTGTTAGCTTCATATGGGCCCATTCAGCCTACTCAAGGTCAAAGGCCTGTCTAAACATTCATGTTTTCAGGTTGGAATGGAAGGATTGAAGCGTGGGGGCTAATCTAATCTCTTTTGGGAGGGTATTCCAGAGGGGGGGGGGCACCACAGAGGAGGCTCTCTCTCTCGCTCTCTCTCTCTCGTCCACACCAGCTGCTCTTGAGATGATGGTGGGAGCCTCAAAGGCTTTAATAAGTTGTGATTTGGCTTGTCACCCACAGGCAGAATTTTTGGATCTGGTCAAATTCATTACTGGTGCCTGGTCCTTCTGTCTCACCTAGGCACAAACCCAGAAGTTTGTAGGCAAAGGCTTTTCTCACTGACACCATACAACAAATGCCATTAACCATGA